TCCCAAAGCTATAATTGCGCTCAACAATGAACTAAAGGGCCACCATCAGTGAGCCTGTTGGACAGCATTACTTGGTCCGCTGTGTGGATGGTGGTTGAGGGGTGGGGAATTTTTGGTGGGTGGGGGGATGTCTGGAGATTGTCATGTGGGTTGGGCTTGGTCTCTGGGTGTTGTGTCAATTTCGTTGTATGGGTATACTGTGTATTTATGTACAATGACAATAAACTTTATATTAAAAAAATAGCCAAAGAGGTAAAAATATGCTACAAATGCCAAAGCTTGAACTATTTGACTCAATGGAATTATATATCATATTACAAAAATATTGATTATTTGTGACATAGGACAATTGATAAAAACAGCCACTCTGATTTGTAAATCATGGTTTATGTCCCTGAGGTAATATATTAGTCCCATTGATTATGCTTCATTCAATCAACTATATTTAGTAAAATCATAACTTAGTGCAATGTGAGAATGCAGCTCATCTTTCATTAGAATAAAAAGATACCTTATACATAGACATGCTCAAAATCCACTAGCCAAATATAAAGCAGCCCAACCCAACTCAAAGGGTTGTTGTTGAGGGGCAAATAGGAGAGGGAAAGAGTGTTAATAAATAAAAATAAAAAACAATACTGATTTAAAAACTGTTACTATATCATTCTTGATATAATATTTTTTCCTATAGTTTGTTAAAAACCAAGGTCACTTTTGAAAAGTACAGTGTATTCGTTTTATAACTGCTTTAAGACTGTTTAAGTATCTAACTGAAAGTAATGGTGTTTGTGACTAAGTTATATTCAAAACATGACAAAATAAGGAGGGGGGGAGGGATAGCAGTGTTATAAGTTTGTGCAGCATTATTTCAGATGTGTTTCATATTTCTCACTATTCAAAAAGTACCATAAACAGGCTTTTCATACAGGTAGTCCTTGACTTACAAACATTTGTTTAGTGACTGTTTGAAGTTACTATGGCATTGAAAAAGGTGACTTATGACCAGTTTTCACAGTTATGACTGTTGCAGCCTCCCCTTGGTCATATGACCAAAATTCGGATGCTTGTCAACTGGTTCATATTTATGACAGCTACAGTGTCCCGGGGTCATGCGATCACTTTTTGTGACCGTCTGACAAGCAACGACAATGCAGAAGCCAGATTAATTTAACAACTGGAATGATTCCCTTGACAACTTGTGGCAAGAAAGGTCGTAAAATGGAGGCAAAGCTCATTTAACTGTCTTGCTTAGCGATGGAAAACATTGTGGTCATTTGTGGTCATAAGTCAAGGACAACCTGTAATTGGGTTTTGTGTTATTTGAACAATGGGACTATTATGAAACAATCCCACTAAGAAAAGAGGTTAATGTGATGCCAGCTCTTTTCCTACTCATGCCTCCATCGATATTTCAAAAAGATTTGGCCACTTTATTGGGGAAAGGGTAAACATCTGTCAGCACAGTGCACTTCAGGACATTTTAACTACAAATGTCAAACCTTAGCTGGGTTTTACAAAAACCAACACTTTTCACATGACGTAGAGAACCCTGAAAAATCTTCCCCTTATGCTCTTAGTCACTTACTCAAATCTATGCATCTGTCATAATTGGCAGGATCATATTCAAACTCACCTCTCTCACGTACAATTAGCCAGGCATCTATAAAAAAGAAAAAGACCCCTTCCCCACAAAATGATTTTAAATCCCTGAAGGAGAGGGGAGTAGCAATACCATCACACCCCCACCCCAGGGGGCGGAAGGAGGGCAGGCTCTTATTTTGAAATAAAAATGAGAAAGAAAATTCTCTTACCGATAACTCCAATGGTTACTGTCCCTGCGAACCCCACCTAGCAAGTCGACATCGTGACATGTCAAGTCAGGGCAGCCTCAACCACGCTTCCCTGATAGTCAGGTAATAAAAGGAAGGAGTTAAAACAGAAGTTACACTAGCAGATTTCTGGATAACATTAGAAAATGTAGATAGAGCAATATATTCCGAATGGTCATTCAGAGCTTCTGGTAACCTCCTTTTTACAGTCTTAATAGTTTTTCCATTCCAACGGTATGCCTCTTGGGACAAAAATCACATGCCTCTTGATAAGCCAGTCTGTATTTGGTAAGACTATCAAATTTGCTACGTAAAACAGCTCAACATGTTTGCCCTAAGTTAAGAGAAACCTCCATTTTGAGAGAAATGAGAATCACAGCCTGTAATTCTGGCCTTACAAAACTTCTGAGGCATTAAGAATCCAATTCAGAGACAAACCTTAGTTTTGTCTATGTTAATATTTTATGAAATACTTCTTGCACGAACTGTCCAAATTTAAATCGAGAAATTATATGCAAACTTTGAAAAATTCTGGCTCATTTGTTCACAATTATAAGAAACCAAATCATGCACAGCCAAGGCAAAAAAGCCGTAATGAAGTTCCAAGGTTTGGTTTTGCATAAAGACTCCAATTGTAAGATCTCCCTTGTATATGAAGATACTTTCATAATTTCCTCACTTTGCTCATTATAGCTTTACTTATAAGCATGTTTTTTAATGTTTAAAATGCAAATGAGTTCAAAGAAAGGCATACAAATGCAGAGGGTGAAAATATAAACAGGCTTTGATAAATGAGGCAGTCATTCACAGTGGATTGTTAAACTTAAATGTTCTTCCAATTCTTTTGGATTTTAACAGAAATTCTGAAGAAATATTTTCAAAACAGTTTATGTTACTAAAGTTGGTATCATCACTTAGAAAAAAAAACACCAAATCTACCAAAGAAACTATAAGCCTAGAACAATGATTAAACCTTTAAACGTTTTTAGACATTTCCTTTCATGAAGAATGGTTCTCAGGAAATTGGTTAACTTTTGAGTTGAAACTCATTTAACAAGGCAATGTGGGATCTAAACAATTAAAAATTTGTATAAATCTTTGGATAAAAGTTTTTGAAGTACCAAAACTCTGGCATCAGTTTTTTTTTTCCAAAATCACCTTGGTGTCAATAATGACATTGAAGCAACTGCTATAAATGAGTGATCAAATATCCCATTTCATGATTCCTCCCCCATCTTGAAGACAAAAAGGCATGAGATTCTTGTATAATAGGAGTTTTCTTCCCTCGGATTGCTTTGATGAACAAAGGTCAAGACACAGATCAACAAAATATATTTTGGATTGCACTTGAATTTTTAGTTATTAGTAGAAGAGGATCTAAAATGTGCCATAGTGCATGGTATATAATTTTTAAGCCATAGTGCATGGTATATAATTGAAAAATTGAAAAGCCTTTAGAGCCTCTTGACTGAATATGGATACCACTGAAATATTTAGACAGTATACTTCTGTCTTTAAAATATAAAATGATATTTACTGGACAGGTGGAACTGCAGTTTGTGTTACCAATCAAGTTAGGCCAAGTATGTATGTTATGCTACTTGGTAAGGGCTACCAGAGGTTAAAAATACAGTACAGAAAATTGCATTTGCTTTTGAGGATTTTTACAGCTTAGCATTTTGGTAAGAATAACAAACACATCACAAGATTTCTCATTACAGAACAACATGTGTGTATTAAAAGTCCAATTCTTTCTAAATTCTGATTCAGATGTTTTCATATCAATACAAAACTGCTGCTTATTTTTCTAGAAAGTCTTTATGATCCATAATAATAATAAAAATAACTTATAATGACTTTTTTCATTGAGGCATATATTTAAAGCTCAGAGTTTGTTTCATAGATCAGCATACCATTCAACTGGTTGGGGGGGGGTTGCTGACTGCTAAACAATTGACAAACCATTCTAAAAAAAGACTTTAAAAATTATTAAAAAGCCAGCCATGAAGCCATATAAAAGCCTCAGTATATGCATCCTGTAACTTTATTCAGACAAAAATAAATACATCTATAATAGAACTAGCAGCTACAGTATTTCATTTGATCATAATATTGGTCAGTTTCTATTAGAAAAAAACCATAGATTTTTTTTTAAAAAAAAGGCCTCCCCACTCTTAACTGGCTGGCTTTCAAAAAATAACTTTCAAAAATATTTTCTCTCAAGACAGTGAATTACAAACCCAAGAAATTATCTTCTTCACCCTCAACAAAATGTAGAAAGAAAACTACTAATTCTTCCCATCAGAAAAAGCCTGAAAGAGGGTCAGAAAAGTTTGTTTTCTCTATGATCTAATCAAATGCAAATCCATCAATAAGGGGCTATTTATTAAGAAAATTCAGGATGGCCAATCTTATAAATTTCAAATGGTTGATTTCCCCCCCAAAAAATCTCAAATGCACAGCACAGGAACATAGAAAAGTGCAAAGACAACAGATGAAACAAGCATGAGATGAGAATCAAACGTATGTTAAAAATCAATACAAAATGGTTCACACAAAAAATGAATGGAATAGCCTGAGTAGAAAAAAACTAGCAATATCCCAAATTAATGGAAATTTGCATTTGAAATCATTCCTTTGACAAGATGTGAAATCTAACTGTTTTTAATAATATTAGTTATCTCTAGCATCAAGATTTTACATTTGTTTAAAAATTTACAACCAAATTCGTATCTTTGTTCGAATCAGTCTCTTGAAAGGTAAAATTGACCATGTTATTGTTGTTTTACAGTTGAGAATTATCCAATTGTGCTGGAGTTATTGGATATGATCCATATGAATAATGTGAGATAGGTTAAATTTATGGACTGTCTTCATACACAGTATATCTTTTGCAACTGACTGAAAAAGGGCTTAAATGCAAGTTTAAGCTGTTAAGAAAGCAACCAATTCACTGTTAAATGCAACCAGATTACAGTACCAATTAATACATTTCAATTTGATTTTACTGGACCTAGCACTGACTCGCATGCCACCAATGCCAGATGTTGGAAATCGCAAGAATTTTTCATGAATTTGATCACTCACATAGGCAGTTTTTTTTTAAATGTTTCTTGCAAGGATTACCAATAAAATAATCTTTTAGGACACAATGGAATTTGAAATAGGTAATGTTTTGAATAGGTTTTTGAGTTTTATTGAAATCTTACATGAACAAGAAATTGGAAATACAATCACATCAAGGAACAAATTGCCACGGATTTGACGTTTAGGCCAAACAAATTTGTAGGGCAGATTTTCAAAAAGGTGTGAAGTCATAACAATTTAAAAACACAGTTAACCTACTTCTAGGAATGCAAAACATACAATCATGTTATTTTTCAATACAAGAAAACTTAATTTTTTTTTTTAATTCCTTAAAACTACGGAGACAAAAGTACTAGCTTTATTTTATGTACAGCAGAAGCCTACGTAATCTATCCCAAATCCAAAAAGAAAAGAGGGAAAAAGAAAGAAAAGAAACTGTCCAAAAACAGAAGGTTTGCAAAAATCATGATTTAACAGTGTTGCCCATCCTTGCTAATAAACTGCTAAAATGAAGCCTAAAACGATAAAAAGCATTGTTATCCCCAAACTATGTTTGGGAAATCTGCAAGCTCAGTAATGTCCAAGTGCATTTATGAGAAAAGGAGGAAAAAAAAGACTTGAATATATACATAATAGAGTGATTCTTCAGCCCAATACACATGGCAGCCAATCACTATTGAAGGATGAAACAATAAGCCAATTTTTTGGAAGGATGTAGAACTATAGCCAAATTCTTATCTTGTCAATATTCCCATGCCCTCCTTATTGGTCTTACTTCCACTGCTGCCCATATGTATCCTGATAAAATTCCTGGTTGTCATTATTGTAACCATAGTTACCGGCATAGTCTCCACCTTGTTGAAGCGGCTGCTGAGCGATAGGCTGCGAGCCCCAGTTCTGCTGGTTGTTGGTCTGACGGCGCTTGGAATCAGGTTGGTTGTACCCATCCGCTTTTCTCTTGCCTCCCACGTTGCCCCCACGATTGCCCCTGGCTCCACGAGCACCACGTCCTCTCTGCTGCTGAGCAGGGCCCCCTCTCCCGCCCCTGGCTCCTCTTGGTGGTCCCATGGGTGCCCCCCTCTGGGAATAGCCAGCTCTACCTCTTGGTGGTGGTGCTCCCCGCCCCCTAGGTGGTGGAGGTGCGCCTCGCCCACCCCTTCCTCCTCCTCCTCGTCCTCTTATAGCATAGCCATCATCATAGCCATAGTAAGGATCTTCGTAGCCACCACGGTAGTCATGATAGTCATAGCCATAATAATCATCGTAATAATCTTCATAGCCATAGTAATCTGGGGGATAGCCATAGCCGCCTCTGCCTCCACGACCTCGGCCTCTAATAGGAGGTGGCATACGAGGTGGAGGATAGTAATAATAGTCTTCATACCTAGTGAGGAGGGGGAAAAATAATAGCACATTTATTGTGTGTTTTTTTTCAACCACATCGGTCTCAAGTCTTTTTCTAGTTTAAAGAATCCAGTTTAGAAAGAGAATAACTTTTTGGAATTAAGCGGATGAGGACAAAGGAAAAGGATCCCGGCCTACTGCTTTCTCCACTGAACTTCCCAGGAAGACCACACTAGATTTGCTATGGGAGCGGTTATTTTTAAACATACTGTCGGGTTTGCTCTAAGCCATCCGCAGCTCTAAGCCATCTGACAAAATTGGCCTCCACGTCTCCAGCCCATGGGAGGAGCAGTAAGCGTGGATATTTTTGTTCTTGTTGGCACCAATTAGTACACCTTAATTTGTACCATTCTCCGGCCTTGTTACAAGTAAGAGTAAATTTCAGTAGATGGGACTGAGCAAATTAAGTGTTCCATCTGGAGGAAGGAATAATAATCTGATTGTGCCTTTACAGCTACATTTCAGTTTACTGAAATTTCAACACTTACGCAGTGCTTCTAGAGGCTTGTCTGGCAGCTTGGCGTTCTTTTCTTTTCTTATCTGGAGGCTTGGCTAACACTATTTCAATTTCTTCCCCCTCTATCTCTTTTCCGTTCATTTCATTCATGGCCTGTTTTGAGAGGGGGGGGGAAAGACATTTAAATTGTATTTGAGAACATAATGTCACTTCAGCGTTTCCCACCTTTCAGTTCCCAAGTCCAAATATTTTCCAACCTATACAATCCCAACTTTTACGTACTGCATTTCTCATTTTAGTTCTTTTGTTTCAAAATAAGACGGCAAACCTTTCCTGGAAAGAAAATGCAATACATGGGCCCTTGTAAGAAACAATGCAACAGGAAAGTCTGCAATTCTTGCCTTGCCTTTTGGGAGCATACAAGAATGAGAGGAAAGAGAAACTTTGGGGTAGACAGACAAGCAGTACAGGAGATGGAAGCCTTCTCCTAGAATTTGAAGTTGCAAGGCTCTAAATGCTATTTTGCAGCTGTAACATTTACTTTATAAAATTTTTAAAACATATTGTGAGAAAGAATAGTTTTTAAAAACAAAGAAACAGAAACCTGTAATATTAATGTATTCCACATTCCATATAGGTGCTCAATAACTCTCCCTGATTCCCCCCCCCCCAAACAGTCATAAACTCTAAATGTCCGTCTGAGCTTCTGCAGATTTAAATCTGGGGCTCCCCAACAGTATTACCACTGTAATATCTTTTAATGCACGAAGAATTTAAAATAGATTGTTTGTCCTTTCTTCCCAAATTAGCCCCTACATGTCCCCCAGCACCTGTAGAAGGGAGTGGCAAAACCTGGAGATGGAGTTAAAAGAGGGATCAGCCTCAAATCCCTATGTTGCCATAAGTGAATTAAATCCAACCTTCCTTGAATTCTGTTGACCCTTATCTAATTTTAAGCAGGTGCTAACTGTTAGTTAAGGAGATTCCTGTGCCTAGACATGATTAGTAATAATTCACTTTAATTGAACTTTCCAGAACCTGATCTTTCACTACTGACAGAGCCCCCACCCACCCAAGAGGGGAATTAGCAAACATTAATCTGCAATGAAAGGGAGGAATCATGAAATCCAAAGTTATCTTAATCCATTAATATATTTTTTTCTATCAGTACAATACAGAAGTCAGTTATTACTTTGATTATTGAAATAAAAATGGAAGATGAAAGTTGCCAAAAGACCATTACTATGCAACCATATAGTATATTTTGTCATAATAAATCTGAGTTCAATGCAGAAAGTGGATAGAAGTTACCCTCAGAGAAAGTTTTCTTACTAAGCAAGTAAAGGAAGTCTCAGGCTGCTCCATAGGAAGATCTATGGACCATAACTATTTTTGCAATAAAGACAAAACAGTAGTAGAAGCATGTTTCTTGTTTAGAAAGTCAATGAATAAATCATAGGAACGGACAGGAAATGGTAGCACAACTATGTACAAGAGGACACCTAATTATAACTCACTCCATATTACGAGAAAAAAGTCTGCTTTTGAGAAGATATTCTGTAAGTTCTGGGTGACCTAATTTTGCTTAATAACAGTGTTACCTACCTTAACTGCTGCTCCCCTATCTTCAAAATGAACAAAAGCATAATCTTTTAATTTCTTCACTCTTTCCAGTTTTCCAAACTCTGAAAATGATTTCTCCAATATTTCCTCTGTCACTGTAGTGGCCAAATTCCTCACAAATAGAACTTTCACCTGTCAAGAAAACTGGCATTTATTTGAAATATTTTTAAGCTGTCTGTAAGGCCAAATCCCCCTTGTGCTTGAGATTATCCTTAGACAAAACAGTCAAGACACAATTATTAAACTACAGAAACCAAAGCAACTTTTGCAGTGCAATAAACTGTTTTGAGGTTACTGTCTCATTAGTGAGGATTGACAGCTTTTTCTAAGCTATAGGATACCAGAGGAAAAAAACTTGCTCCCTTTCTACCTTGTTCAGGTGGGAAGAAGTCATGGGAGCCTTAAAAAAACTCTTGGATAATGGTTTCCAGTCACGCTGCTCTGGAAAACAATCTCCACATTATCTATTCAGTCATGCAAAATTGCCCAGAGAACACTACGGCCTAAAGAAAGATTTTTAGCTACCTCGATCATAAAGAGTTTTTTCAACTCTTTATCTTTACCTTCACTATGAACAGTGGCAACTAAAAGAATAGTTAACAAACAATGTTTACTCTATAGAAATTATTCAGTAAAACACTTCACTCCTCCCTCTTGAGATTCCATTTGGAAGATAACAATATTTCCTTTTTCCTCAATTTTAACAACCGATTTCTAAACAATAGGCAAATACTCTACTTTCTAACTCAGCTATCAAACTATTGGAAAACATAGAGTGCTGCTGAAATGGTGTGCTTCAGAATGTAATTCAGAGAAAAAGGATCCATGATGGTTAGAATAATCATATTTGAAAACACCTAGAGATTCCTTTTTACCAGATACAAATCTTATATTGTTTATATGCATAAAAACACACACATACATAATGGCACTCTTGTAAGTTTATCCCTTCTGAGTGGTCTAACCAGCCTCCCATCTCCCCTCAAGCAAGGTAAACAGGTATTCTTAGAGATAATCAGAAAGGAAAAAAATAAATCTGTTGGTGAAGTTTAATTTAGATCATGCCAATTTAGCTACTACTTTACTACCTTTGCCATGACTTCTGGATCTGGCTCCTCTACCGGGTCAGCCCATTCAACCGTCACAACATTTCCCCAGACTTTCACTTTCCCGCTCATCAACCGGCGTCGAGCTTGAGCTGCTGATTTGTGATCTTCATATTCAAGGAAGCAGAACCCCCGATTCTTCTTTTTATCATCAGGTTGATGATACAGGATTACGTCAACTAAACCCTCTGTTAAGAACAAAACATCTGATAAATTACGGAAGACTTAAAACTTTTCTCATTTGAAAAGCTAATTAAAAAAAGAGGTTTCAAGATAGACTACTAAGTATGCTGGAGACTTAATTTGCTTAACTAATGCACTGTGAAAATACACCTTTTGGGGAGCATAAAGGAAATTCTTAAGATTCTACAAAATTCTCTTTTTACTCTATTTACTGTTGCAATACAACATTTGCTTCTGGCAGGTGATGCTCCCTGACTCAGCACAGAAATGGAAAAATCATAGCTCATGACTGTCATTTTATAAAGTGGCACACACTTTATAAACTTTATACACACTCATAGCCTTAACTACTACCTAACCGATATCAGGTATTCAGAATAAGGAAACATTCTTCTGAATCACTGGTAGGAATTCTACTTCAAGTGGCCTGGCTAGATTTTGATATATTATTTTGAACCATTTTTCCAAGCTTTTCTGCTACAGGAAATATGAAAACATTACTGATCTCATCACTATTTATTTCATGTGCCTCATGAAAGATGCAATTGCTTGCAGTTCTGGTGCAATGTATCAATTCTTTGAGAAATGGAGCTGCTGTCCTTGCTTTTTCCATCTACCATAAACAACTAAAGTGTCTTAAATTAAAAGCGTGAAAAGCGTCTCTAGTTCAAAAACTGTGCCATGTTTTTCAGAGTAAACCTTGATAGTTTATAAAGATTTTCAATTACAGAAAAGAACCTCAAAGCAAACTGTTTTGGCGTTCAAAGCTACAGAAAATGTGTATGTTGCAAGGGTTTCCGACACTTGTTGCGTCGGAAGGACCTACTGGTTGAGCCCCGGAATGGACCTCTCTCAGAAAACCGTTGTCCTGTCTTGTCTTTAAATCCAGCTCTGTCTGGCTGATGGGTCTGGCCGTATGTTCTGCTGGTGACCAAAACTGGCATCTGTGACCGGAAAGGGCTGCCTGCATGTATAGCAGTGGTTCTCAACCTGTGGGTCGGGACCCCTTTGGGGGTCGAACGACCCTTTCACAGGGGTCGCCTAAGACCATTGGAAAACATATTTTCAATGGTCTTAGGAACAATTTTATGGTTGGGGGTCACCACAACATGAGGAACTGTATTAAAGGGTCACGGCATTAGGAAGATTGAGAACCACTGGTGTATAGGATGAAGAGCACTGCTGGATGTGCCCATATATTTTAGGCAAATTTTTTCTCTTGTCCCTGGTTTCCACCAGTATAGATTCTATGGACAGCTTGTTCCCCTTGACTGGGGCAGAAGCTAGCTTCCATTTATGTTTTACATCCGTCTGCCAATGGCGGAGCCAAACCAAGTATCTTACAGCTACCGAAGCTGCAATGGCTTTGGAAGTGTACTTAGCACCATTGAGATCAAAAGTATGATCCTGTTCTGATATTCTCTCAACGTCTACAGGACTGGTCTGATCCTCTTGCTTAGACATGACCTACATTAAAGCCTCTGATATCAGAGCTTTCATCTTATTCATCAGTGCAGGTGATCTAGCTCCTGCAGTTCTGGGAGTGTATATAGCCACCGGCGCCAGTCTCCTTCTCTTTGGATGAGGTTCCCACTGATTTCCAAAGTCCTGAAACTTTCCTTGCAATTCAGACAAGGATTCATCCTCTCCCAAGCAAAGGATTGTTTGGTTTGATTGCTCACCAGCTCCCTCTGGTGTTTCAGCTCTGGCACTAATTCCTTGCTGCTTCATCTCTATTGGCTGAAATACTGAGGCGCGGGAAATTCCATTCCGCTCCGCCTCCTTTTCAGCTTTTGCAAAGCTTTTATCAATGGCTTTCTGCCTCCTCAAAGCGTCTTTCTCCTCAGCTTTGGAGGACTTGTTAGAAAATAGAGGCTTTCCTCTCATCTCAAGTGTTGCTCCTCTTGTAGCCGCTCTGGGCCCCTCTGAGCTTATGAAGGTTTCATGCTTATTTAGCATTTCATTATTTTTAGACATGATTTAAGTTGTTATAGTCTAGTGTATTATTTTCCTGTCAACCAGATTTCTTTTTTAGATACATATTTTTATTGGCATTTTTTTTTAATCTGTAAACCTCCCGCAGTCACCGGGAAATCTGGTGGCCTCTAATTTTAGAAATTAAGCTACATTAAAGTGACGTGGTAGCTCAGAGGCTAAGACGCTGAGCTTGTTGATCGAATCCCTAGTGCTGCATAATGGGGTGAACTCCTGTTACTTGTCCCAGCTTCTGCCAACCTAGCAGTTCGAAAGCACGCAAAAAAAATGCAAGTAGAAAAATAGGTGGGAAGATAACAGTGTTCTGTGCACTTTTGGCGTTTAGTCATACTGGTCACATGACCATGGAGACGTCTTCGGACAGTGCTGGCTCTTTGGCTTTGAAACGGATAGGCACTGCCCCCTAGAGTCGGGAACAACTAGCACATATGTGCAAGGGGAACCTTTACCTTTACCTAAAATAAAGCCATTTTTTACAGAAGCACATGCCCGCATCTCCTTACCTGTGACTTTGCTGAATTCTTCTAGTATATTCTCCTTTGTTTTGTTTTTTGGAATTGATCCAACAAATAGCCTATTATTTGCCACTGAGATGCATACACCAAGGTGTTTTCCTGGCCGGATTTCATAGTTATCACACTGAAAGAAAAATAATTGAACATTTCCCATGAACTTTCAGCTTATTAAAATACAGATACCAGCAAACTCTACTGGCCTATATTGATTAAATGACTAGATGTTTACATTATTTAGTAGCATTTCCATCTTTGCATGCCCAAACTAGAGTTTTAGAAACTCTAAGATTTAAAGTTTCCAATAAAATATATTTTGCTATTTATTTAAAATTTGCATGCCACCCAGCTCACCATCAAGCAACTTATATATTGCAGCCAATATTATCTATAAATACAAAAAACACCCAAGCAGGATCAGTTTTAACTGAGAAAAAATAGGGAGAAAAGTGAGACTATACAGTGTATCTTGCTCTAAGTTTCTAAATTGTAAGGTGAACACTTACTTTTTCATTTGCACCATACTTGGTCTTATGGCAGAACACTCACCAACTTAACAGCTTCCTGTGCTGCATCTTTGGTACAAAATGTGATGAAAGCATAGCCTCGGTTCTGTCCAGAAAGTGGATCCATCATGAGTCGCAAGTCCCAAATGGGGCCTGCCTTTTCAAAGAGTGGCACCAATTCATCTTCGTATAAGTCTCTAGGAATTTTTCCAACAAAAACCTGAAGGAGAATTAATACTTATTAACAAGAACTAAAAGGTACTTTAGAGCTTTTAATCTGGTCATGAATATGCAGTTTTATAAACATTATAATGAGTTAATTAGAGGTAGCTAATATGAGTTTCTCTCTCTCCAATTGCTAATTTATTCCTCCTATCAAATTACACATAATTTGGGGTGCCCTGGGAGCTGCAGTCAGGGCTTTCATAGGCCATATGCAGTACATCCAGTATCACAGTATAGTCCTCATTATGAATCTTGCACCTTTGCACAGAAAGGTAACTGAAAACAGTCATAAATATGAACTGCTTCAAGTATCATAAACCATAGTCTTACAAGAGAAAAGAGCTTTTGAAAACACTTCTATCACTACATCACACATACTTTAATTCTGATATCACTACTGCTAAAAGCAGGTTATTACTATTCAACAATCCACCTCCATCTCCTAGAGAAAACTATTTTGCAATTTCCATCAGTCTTAGTAACTTTAAAGTTAGTAATGGTATCTTTGATGAAGCTAAATTTAACTTAATGATTTACTTGTCTCTTAATTTATGAAATACAGGTAGTTCTCAACTTATAGCCATTTGTTTAGTGACTGTTCAACATTACACCACCACTGAAAAAAGTGACTTATGACCAGTTTTTGCGCTTAAGACTGTTGCAGCGCCTCAGTGATCACATGATCAAAATTTGGGCACTTGGCAACTGGCATGTGTTTATTTCAGTTGTAGTATCCCAGGATCACGTATCGCCATTTGCGACCTTCCCAGCTGGCTTCTGATGAGCAAAGTCAATGGGGAAAACCAGATTCACTTAATGACCACATGATTCATTTAACAACCGCAGTGATTCAGAGGCTGTAAAAATGGGACACAACTCACTTAACAACTGTCTTGCTTAGCAACAGACATCTGGGGCTCCATTGTAGTTGTAAATTGAGGACTATCTGTAATCATTCCAATTTGTTTATTTAGTATAATTAAGGTCAAAATAATCTTATTTAGACATATAAACTGCATATGCAAACCTCTGTTCCAATGCCAGGCTGAGATCCTGAGTAGACAGTATCTGGGGGAGGGCCACCATATTTCCGTTGTCCTGTGGTCACATCCAAAGTATAACTAGTTCGTTCTAACAAAGCCTGAATTTTTAAAAGAAAAAAAAGAGAGAGAGAGCAAGAGGCTTTTAATGTCAATAGGGGAAAAACAACACTTCACCTCAAGGAACTCTTTCAACAGAACATTTTCCCCACTGCTTCATATTCTAGAACGGGGTCTCCAACTTTCAACTCCCAGAGAGGAATTCTGGGAGTTGAAGTTGGAGACCCCTGTTCTAGAACTCATTTGCAAAATTTAATTGCTTGCAAGAGAAACGCAGAACATCAACTAAGGATGGTAAAACCCGTCATTTTTGCTACTGACAGAATTATATCTGTCTGATAAATTTCTTCTTAACATGCCACTGAAGAGTTTCTAACATGCTAACATCACAATCATGCTTAGTGGGGTTGCATTTCATGTCTTATTTCATTCATTCATTCATTCATTCATTCATTCATTCGTTCGTTCGTTCGTTCATTCATTCATATTTCTTAACTGCTCATCTCCCTCAGAGAAAGGCTCTGTGCACTGTACAATATAATTAATAAAATTAAGATTTAAATCAGCGTATTTTCAGATTTTAAAAAATTAAGGTTTTAAAGATAACATTATAAAATTTCAAAAAGTGAAAACTTCCCAAGACAGAGAGGTTAGCAGTTAATACACATGGGGTGGGGGTGTCTCATGGGGCTGGCCAGTCCTACGGTTGTGTGGGCCTCTGTGTCTCCCATGCAAGGCTTTACAGTCAAGTTTTGACCCCTTTGCAGGCCTTTCATTTCCCACTGCAACAAGAATACAGTAATGATAGCAAAGCCAAGTAAATAAAAGGAATTAATGCTGAATGTGAACAAAATCCTTTTCTAATGTTCTTTGGCCAACTTTGTGGCTTTTGTGAGATCAGTTATGGGGTGCCAGATGCTACTCCCCCAGTGCCTCCAAGGTGCAGTATTTAGTATTTTCTATTAAGCTTGCCAGTTATTTCTCCGTGGCAGGCTGAAACTTTACTTCTATCATATGCACTTTGCTGAAGACACAAAATCTTGACTAAGGGGAAGGTGGCTAACAATGGGCAAGAAACTGTCTTAGTATAGTAAATAGCCTTGTCATGCTCTCCAAATTGGAAAAATTTTGAAGACAGGGGATTTCCAATCTTTATTATCAGGCACTAAAATAGTGCATGCAATAGAACAGCTACATATGTTATGCTAAATATACAGCTGCTAGAAACTGAAAATCTTCTCAGCACCCATTTTTTCCCCTATAAAATCCTAAAATTTGCAAAATTTATGTTAGAAGGCAACATTGTCTTATATTTTAGATATTTCTGCCAATCTACATTTGTAATAGTAACAGTTCATTATAAAAGGAACTAATGGAGGAATTCATTTTGTGATACAGTTCTTTACTCCTGAGAATAAGTTCCACTTTTATTTGCTTTCCTATTAATATCTGTGTATATATTACCTTAATTTTTGCTTCGTCTGGCCCTTTTGTTGATTCTTGTACTTTGCTTCCTTGTTTCTCTCTCTGTCTATAAGTCTTCATAACTCCACATAAAAATGCACTTTTGTTCTGTGGATATAATTAATGAAAGAAGTGAAGCAGAAGGCATTAAAAAATAATCTGAAGTCACTGAAGCTTAATAACGCTTAGTTATGTCCTGAGAACCAACCAGTATCTTGAATATAATGTCACTTGATATATTAATATTAAAACAAACCAGCAGTTCAATTACCAAGCTAATACGAGGCACTAATATTCACATGCAATGCTATATTTTACTTTTAATATTTGAATGGAAACACAGTCTTGCTGTGGAAAAAAATAAATAAATCTGAATTCATTTGTTCATATTTGTTGCACCACACCACACTGTGGGCTTATTTGTTCACACCACAGAAGCTCTTACCTTACCTGTACATGCGACAGGTCACTTTCCTTAAATTGCTGTAATACAGAGAGGGCGCCTTCTTCGTTAAATTCCCTGAGAGCATCTATTGCTCTCTCATCAAGATCAACATAAGATACCAATCCTAAAAAAATTAAAAATAGAAAAACATTACAGGTTCCTATTTAACTATATAAAGACAAGTTAGTTTCAAAAAACCTACTGTGCTTTGCTAAAATCAAAATAATATTAACTAATTAATAATGTCATACTACAGGTTAAAAGTTATTTTCCCACAAATTTTGGAATACTTTTGGAAGCAAAATAATCTTACATATCAGGGTTTGAAATAACAGGCTCTAGCTCAGATTTCTAAAACAAAATCGGTTTTCAGAGCTTTTAAGTTTTTTTCCCCTTTCGAATGGAGCCATTACAAGTCATAGATAAGGAAACAATTCTATCATTTCACCACAATGTGCTGCACCACTTACTTGGAATAATTTGTAAAGCCCACTTCCCATTCTTCATCAGAAAATGCCCCCCCCCCCTGTGTTTACAAAAAGTAGGTATTACAATTACTATTTTTTGTTTTTGCCATCCCTTTCCTCTCCATTATTTCGAGCCCTGTTATGCACTTTCAATACCTTAATTTTAAGCGCATAGGTACAGACCTACAGTTACAGTAGGTACAGGTACAGTAGTACTAGCCCTGATACACATACACTGAAAGCTTTGGATACGGTTTCTTCTCTATAATGAAAGACTTAGAAGTACATATTATAAAAATGTAGAGCATTGCAAGTTCCATTAAATTTGCATTTAAATGGTGAAATGTCAGATATTGGCACAATCTTTCAAGAAATATAATGTACGTGTTTTTAATATTTGAAGTTTTTAATACTGAAACACCCTACTCTAAAGCACAAAATATAGCAGCAAAGTCATGAGATTGCAATTTCAGAGTTGTTCCTGCATGGTGGCAAGCCCCTGCATCACTTATACATGGACAAAACTCAGATGATTAAAAATCATGAAAATATTTTTAATTATCTAGGCATGAAATGAGAAGTATCCAACTGCATTAACAGACCCAAGTGGGTTAAAATGTTAAATTTTACACATGAAGATACATCTCTACGAATATATTGAAGCCAGGCAGTAAAGTTTTAGTATGAACTTGTATCTTTACATTCCCTTTTCGAACAACTATACTCAAGCCACTATGTGAATATCAGCTTAGTTCAACCCTAGAGAAGTATCTCTCTAAGGAGACAGCACTACCATATCAGACATTCATTGGCACTGTCTTTGGAGACAGATTACCACCTGAGTCAAAATACCATCATAATAAAGACGGACATGGTATTCTTTTGAATTATCTTAAACTTGCAAAAAACATTCTAGGACTTTAGAAAAAGAAGACAGGTTAAATCTTCTCTATGAAATATTTGAGGCAAGGGAATGAAGGAATTCTATTTACTTATCTAACTATATTCACCACACACAAACTAAAGAAGAGAAATTGTCTCTTTTCACAGCAAAAGGGTAGGTGCATCCTAAAATTCTTTTGTGTTCTCTCTTTTTAAAATACACAAGCCACTTGCTCCAAGTAAGATAAATATGATTCAAGCAATTATCATAAAACTGAATACTTCAGTATGATGACTTAAATAAATTAAAACTATTCACTAGGCTATAGACAAACATATAGACTCAAAGCAAGCCAAGCAAGCTACTTCCCCTCCTTAAACCACCTACTGAAATACTATGTTTAGCCTAAGTACCATAAATTGGTGATGGTAGCAAAGTAGAAGCAAATTATTATAATGTTGAAAAAAAAATTACAGTTCAGTAGGCAGCAAAGTCCTCTTTTACTTGGGAGAGTCTATGAAACAGTTACAGTGTCCTAAAGACCTATGGTACTGTCGATATATTCAACCTCAAAGTGAAAGCAGCAGTACATTCATAGCTACACAGTGCAAAATATAGCAGTTTTCATCTTTAAAGCCTAAAAATTTTGATTTTTTTTGCCTTCACTTTTATAACCAATCAGAAACAAGAAATGCATATTATACCTGTCTGAAATATTTCATCAAGTCTTTCTGCCACCTTCTGTGGGAGGCCTGCCTCTATCAGTGTCTTGTAGTGTTCTGTGTGAGTAACACTGGAAGTATCCATTGGTTCTTCCTCTTCTTTTAACTGTACCGCATTACCATTCACCTGATTAGCCATTTTATTATGCTGCTGGAAAAAATTCAGGAGCTATATTACATAAAGCCAGAAATAACTAATTTGAAGGACAATGCATTTATCTAAACTAACTGTAAACATACTGCCAGTGACTTGCATTAACTCTTTATTTAAAGCCTTTATAATACAACTCGCCTAATTTCAACAGAAAATACAGTCCTGAAATACTGTGGAGTATGTACACAGAAAAATGAACAATTTTAAGTGTACTTCATGAAGTACACTTCATGTACAAAGAATCTACTTTTTATTTTTGTGTGATTAATTTGTATTATCGTTAAGGGGGGAAGGATACTGGAATGCACAAATATCTGCCATTATTCCCTTGGCCTCACAGAATTTTTTGATCCGTTTATTCAATACAAAGTTCTACAAGGCCAGCTAAATATACAAATGTCAATCAATACTTGCTTTCCATCTTTCCCATATTTTTCTGGCTTCCTTCCATACTCAAAATCAATATTTTGTTACATAAGAGACACCATACAGCTTCAACACACTGATTTCCATAACTTTTTTTTAAAAAAAAAGAATATGCCACATTAAGTTTGCACAAGTAGAACAGTCAATAAACAAATTGCACATCACATACCAACAAGATGAACGTGTATTAAACTCTGCATGTCACATATTAGAGATTAAAGGAAAGACTGCACCTTCAATTTTTAGTATCAATAGGAAAGATTTGATGCACAGGTCAGTAAGATGGCAAATATCAATTTTTAAAAAACCACTATCTTTTCAAATGATTTTTGTGGATTTTTCTAATTCCTATTTGATGGTATTGATCTGGAGTTTGTTATTCGGCCACAACAGACAGGCAATATAAACCCTGCTAAGATAAAGATTGACTGTGTCATATTAGCAGAAAGATAAACAACCTTGAATTTACTGAAACATTCAATTCAATTTAAGATATATAGAATGAAGGTTATGACTTTTAAATTATGAATACTATAACTAGCTCTTCATATACTTCATGCAACTTAAAGATCCCTCCAAACAGAAGCATTCATTATAATTAGAAGCAAGTCAAAATAAAAACCCATACTCCAGCTTGCTTTAAAACAATCACTACATCAATGTCAAAAAACCATTTAGCAAGCCATAATCATAAAACTGCAGAACTTGCATTACAATATGAATTTTGGTTGCAGATATCAGTATACTATACTACGAGCATATTAAATACCATTAATTTCTACTATTTTTGCAAAATGTCCAATAAATCTTACATTTCTTTCAAACTGCAGCATTAAGTTTTAAATCACAGCCCTAATTTATAATACTTCATGTCACCCAAAATCAGTGTATTTAGACAACAAAAGCTGTACTGAGTGGCAGGGTTCCAAGTAACACCCTCAATGTATATAAACTGGTTTTATACCAAGCACCCCGAACTTGATGCTTTCCAGATGTGTTGGAGTACAATTCCTATCACCTCCTAAAATAACATCTGTATCCCATTAGTTTGAGGGTATCTAACAATGAAAAACAATTTCTCACAAATAATTAAGGTTATTTCTTGTAACAGCACAGTAATAGGGATATGCAAAGGATGGATACCCTCTTGGGTACCCAGAGAGAACAGAGGCATGAGGTCTTCCATAGTGGGGGAAAAGCAAGGCCATCAACAGCAGCTATGAGGAAAGAAATATGGGGAGAAAGCAAGATACACTGGCTGTGCTTAAATTCAAGCCAAGTGGCAACTACTCAAAAGGAAGGAGAAGAAGGGAAGAGAGGTTTTGCCTTATTCACCTCATAAGATATCTCTGCATTTTTTTTCTAAGTTAAAACACAGAACAATCAAAATGATCTAATTTTGAGCTTGGATGAGGCTGGACCACATCCTATCCGGGAATGTCCCTTAACTCCCACATTACAAGGTGTTTGTCTCATAAGTAGAACATATTTTCTGTTTTGTGCCTAGTTCTACTCAGTAGTACTGTACCCTCTTATGGTACTATTGCCTCAATAGAAGCTTTTCCGAACCTTCTGACAGAATTATTTTGATTTATAACTTGCATATGGCTTCACATATCTTAAATGAGGAACATAATTCAAGATGAACAAAAATTAAATAGTTTTATAGCGATAACAGCAAGACTATTATCCAACAAAGACTGATGTGAATTTGATCAACTTAAACAATACACATTTCTTCCGGATATTTTTGTTGTTCTAATGACAGAAATGCCCTTTAAAGTCTCTTCCAAAACAAAACGGCAATGCTACCAAAGTAAAGGTAATCTCTGAAGAAAATATTTGGAGAACAAAAAAGAACAAGAGAAAAGTACTTATTCTAAAACAATCTTCATCAAACTGCTGCTGTCTAGTTATGAAGTACAATTCCCATTATGACAGAAATGAGTTTTTCCCAACTAATAAGTACCAAAAGATTATTGGTGCACTCAATTCACATTACACTTCCTCAATGTAAAAAGATTTAGAAGATTCTTTATTCAAATAAGTCTACAAAGTTTTATTGGTATGAAGGGTTACAATATGAATACAGGTTTACCAAGAAATAACTCAAGATCCCACTACTCTCGCTATAAAAACATTCTTTGAAATGGGAAAAACCAATATCTAAATAATCAAAGCAAACTTGCACAGAATATCAGCAATAAGCAACTCAAGAAAGGTCTCTAACAAATATGCACTATCTTCATCATTATACTGTATTAGCAAAACCTTATGTGTTTAACTGATATCTCACTTTTTGTCACAGAAGCTCCAGGCAATGAACACAGTCCCTTCTGCTATTTTTCCCAACAAGTCTGTGAAGTAAATGGGGCTGAATGAAAATGACTGGCCCAAATCACTCAGTTTCTTTGACTGAGGGTGGACTAGAAGCCTCCCACCCTTAGTCCATCATCTTAACCTGGTGTTTCTAATCCGGCCTTAGGCACAAAGCCAGTTGGGTGACCTTGGGCCAGTTCCTTTCTCTCAGTTCTAGGAAGGAGACTACTTCTGAAAACTTTGCCAAGAAAACTGCAGGGATTTGTCCAGCAGTCTGAGAATAGGACACAACTGAACGGAAGAAAAAAAAAAAGAGATAACTAAGAGTATTCTTCAAACATTTAAATTGCAGTGCTATTTCCATAAATATAGCCCAGATTATTTGTGTTTTGTAACAGAACATTTTTGATACATTATTCTTAGACATAACCAAGACCTCATGTAGCCCCAGTGATTGCAGAGGAATAATATTAATTCTATTTAATTTTAAAGAAATGCAAATGTAGGGAAATCAAGTTTAATTTTTGTCTGTGCCATTGGAATTGATCTGTAATATGCCATTAAAAGTCACGTAAACGTCTTGAATCACTCTGCCAATTAATATGTCCCTCCACTAATAGATATTAAATAAACTAAGTCCACACACTATGCTTAATAATAATCATGGTTCACAAGCTACTGTACCTGGATTTATACAGCATGCTATGCCAACACTAAAGAAATATTGATTAGTGCATCAAGTTAACCCATCAGAAATAAATAATCTCATTCAACAAAGATCTAGAGAAGCTGCAGATATACACATACAATAGTTTTTCAGCCTTCTACTATGGAAGAACAGGGCTTGCACCACCTACAGCAGTTGTTATCAGACCTCATATGACTTTCTGTTATCATGCTTGTGCCTCCTCCATAAACTTTTGACTTCACACTATGCTTTTGGCAACACCCAAGACAAGTAGCTAGAGGATGATCTGGTTTTTCACTCCCAAGTCTGGAAACTAGGCAAGATGCAGACAAGACCTCTGACTTTTCTTTCACTTCATTTGACAGGAACTATTTTGCCTCTCATGTCCCACCTAAGTTCTAAACTTAATTACTGCACTTTGTGGCACACTTGACAGAGTACTTAAAAGAGTACAGTGCAATGTCAGAAATGACATGCATAAGCAGGATACTGAAGAAGCCTGAGAATGCTTCATTTATAATACCAAACTCTACATTTCTTTCACTTCTGCAAACTAATCAGCAAACTAATCCTATCCTCCAGACTGACTAGTTGTCATTCTGCTTTCCATTTCTGTTTCTGCATTTGCACTTATTACAATCCTTCAGCAAAATCTATGTGCTACTATATCCTACAAAATTGGTGGTATAGTGAAGAGATGTTTGCAAGATGAATTCTGTTTTGCGAGGCCACCTGAAAGATCTATTATTAAAGAATGTCTTCTGTACTTTATTGTTACATGAAGAATGGCAACTCACCCTAAAAGATTGATGCTCTAGCCACACTATTTCAGTTGTACAAGTGCAGCCTGATTGCTTGTCCTGTTGTAAGAACAGGGATTCTGACTGCATCCATGCAAGACTGTATAACAATAACCATATCTATTCAAAATACATTCTCAATTATCTGAACTACAGCCCTAATTGCTATCTTATCCAGCTCAACTGCTTCTTGGCATGGCTCTATTTTGATTTTAAAAAACAAATGCATGTCCTAAGACAAGGGAAGTAACACAAAGTTTATTTTTTTAAAAGCTAGCAACAGCTCTACTACATTAAATTACCTCAAAATTTAATCAACAGCATTAAAGTCAATAAAGTTGCAACATACCACAAGTCCTTATTTTGTCCACAGAATGCCAAATAGCTATCAATCAATACTAATTTTAAAAATCATGATTTAATTTATCCTCATAAGACAACAAAGTTTGAAGAAATGATGAAGGAAATTTAAATTAAAAATGGAACTGCTGCAGCTTTGCCAACACACATAAAATTTCCAAATAAGATGTACTGTATATGCTATTAACTGCAGAAGCATAAGCTATATTGACAAAAAAAATACATATGGAATGTTTTGGCAGCAGAAAGTTATTCAGTTATTCAAATTTCCCAAATGGAAAGTTTAGAACCCAAAAGAATACTGCATAATTCAAGATTTACAGAGGGTCTTAAAATTTCAGGTTGACAAGAATTTCAAAAACTATGTCAATATACTCTGCTTTGAAATAGCAGGATTAGACAGTAAAGGTATGGAAACGCTGATCAAACCATTTACTGAGGTGTAATCTGATTTTCTGCAAATATACAGCCTTCAAAGCATTCTATGGTATCATCTTTAACCTCTACAGTACCACTAACCTGAGTGAAATAGGAATGTAAACTTAAAACATCCAACACTTCTTAATGTACCACAGTGCTGCAATATTACACACAGAAGAAACTTAACTCACGCAGAAATTCCTATGCCAAATAGCGCAGCTCTGTCCCAATGAGAAGCATCAGCTTTCCATTTTTTTGGAAACAACTTTCAAGCTTATTAGTAAGCTTGACTTTCACTAAGTGTTCGATCTTTTTATTCTTGATGAACGTATTTTATTCTCCTTATGTACACTGAGAGCAGGTGCACCGAAGACAAATTCCTTGTGTGTCCAATCACACTTGGCCAATTAAGAATTCTATTCTATTCTATTCTATTCTATTCTATTCTATTCTATTCTATTCTATTCTTCTATTTTATTCTATTCTATTCTGCCTCACCGTTTTCTCAAGAACGAGAATTATCATCCCTTCGCCTTCTGTCCATTCTCAATTTGACAGCATTAAAAAAAAACAAAACACCACCACCCACTGAAATAACTTCAGATTATTCATTACCAGAGATGGGCGTGTAGAAAAGTAACTGGAAAATTATATCCCGCAGCCTTTTTTTAAAAAAATGTGAAAGCCGCATCAGAGATTCCAACAGGGGAAGAAAAAAAAAATAGCACGTTGCAGCCACTGTTTATTTTTGTATGGGTTTTTTTTTTTTCGGAAATCAGTGCTTCAACGCCGTCGTCCTACAGGCCGATCCACACCGCAGGTTTACCGGCCAGCGAGCCCCACCGATCTCAAGCCCGGCGCCTACAAGCCTTGCCATCGTACCCGTCCATCCCTCGCGTGTTTATGATTTACGGTTCGGCCCGCTGATTTTCCACCCGGGCTTCCTCCTTAGGAAGGAAAGCGATCCGGTTTAAGTGCAGCCTCCGGGCGGGCAAGGCTTCAACCTGGCCTTTCACCCGCGCGAAAGGAGAACGAGGGGCGAAGAGCCGAGGGTTGCTTTTTACCCGGCGGTTAAACGGGACGGGCCCCGCCAGAAGCAAGTGCCTCAAACGTGGTGCGGAGCCGCCCCCCTTCCTCCGATCGAGGGGAAGAGCCGGGTGAGGCCCAGGCGGGAAGGAGGCCGGCCGTTCATTCTCTCTTCGCTCCCCGGTCGCAGCCAAGGCCCAGCGCGCGAGGAATCAAGCCGACCGACCTTCAGCGGCCCCCCCCCGGCGAAAACGGGGCCTTTCCTCTCACCAGGCGATGCGGCCACAAAAGGCTCCTGGAGCGCCGTCGCAGCGCCGCCTGGGCCTCGCCCTGCCGGCTGCTTCCCCGCCCACCCTCCTCCTCCTCCTCCTCCTCCCCATCCGACGCAAGACACACGCGCGGCTGCCGTCGCTGCTGCTGCCACCGCCTCCTCCGCCTCCGCCTCCGTCGCCGCCGCCGGGTTGGCTCGGCCGGGCGCGTCCTTGGCAAGACTCACCGGAGCGGGACCTGCGCGGCGCGGCTGGAGCAGCGGCTGCAAATGGCGCGCGCTCCTCCTCTTCCCTCCCCTCATGGAAGGCCGGAGCGATCCCGGCAACGCGAGGGGTTTCCCGGAACTGTTTCCAGGGACTGAGTTCGGCGGGCCAATCGGAACGCAGGGTTTCAGAAGGACAGAAGCAGCTTTCCTATCGGCGCCGGGAGGCTGGACCCGACCGTGGTTTTTCTAGCCAATCGGGCCGAGGGCGCCCGTCTGGCCAATCCGCTCAAGCGAGAGAACTATGGCGCGCCGGTAAGGTCGAAACGGAGAGAAGGAAAGAAAAAGCCGGGATTTCCAAACACCCCTCCCCCCCCCCCTTTTTTTTCATTGTCCCGCTCCGAACGCAGCTGAGCTCGTACCTGAGGGGACCCGGGATTAACCGCTTCAGCCTTAATTGGCTACCAAAATGTCTCCTTCAAGGGAGAAAGCTAGCCTCTCACGGCCAAAACTAGACCGAGAGTTCTTGACAAGCTAGTCTATCTGCAGAGAAGACATAATACCAAACTTTTTTAAAAATACTTCTATTCTGTGCAGCTGAACTAATAGTCTCTCATTCGGCAAGGGAATCCTGCGTTTTTATTCTGGAAAAACATTCAAATTGAAACTTCTTCTTGTGCCATATCCGTCATCTGATCATGTTGGTAATCCTATTTTTGCCAACAGCCCTATGAAAAAGTGCTGCTGAGTTTTGTCCAAACCAGTCCTTTAGGTTTTGAAGCCAGGGTCATCTTCTTCTGCCTGGACCTCGTTTGCCTTCAATCTTTCCCTGGAGGATTAAGTGAAGGATGCCGTATTTTTCTGGGTGTCGCATCACATGTCCAAAATATTCTAACTTTAGCTTTTTAATGGCTTTGATGATTTCCCTTTGCTTATTCAGGCGGTTTATCACCTCATTTGTGATTTTATTACCCCCGTTTAAATTGAAACTGCAGTTCCAAATACATTTATTAGGAAGTAAACCCCACTGGACAGTCTTGATGTATTGGTGGAGGTGCTGACCAAAATACCAGATTGAATTTTAGGCCTCCCATGAAAACCAGTTGGGAATTATCTCAGTCCAACCTAGTTTAAAAAGTTGTTGTGGGAAAATATAAAGCAGGATTATGAAATACTGTATATTTACTGTTTGCGTTATATGTATACTTTGTGTGTGTGTATAGGGTGGAATAAAATCTAAGAGGTTGCAATGTAATCTTGATATTTTTCCTCAATGATGCTGTGTTCATTGGTGTATCCTAATGACAGATTAGATCCATATTTTAATTTATTATATATTGATTATATTAAAATATTATTTCTGATCAATTTTTCATAATCACTGTGCATTTTGTTAACCGTTTGATCTGTAAAATAAACAAGTCTTATCTGTAGCCTTCATTTTGGATTATCATTTTTCCAGATTTTTGGCTTTAAAATATAAGATATTGTAGTTAATTTTTCCTCTGAATTTATTTAGATATTAGATTTTTGTGCTGTCCATCTTGTCTAGAAACCTTAGACTTTTCATCACCTTTCTTCTCTTTGGAGTCACACTAGGAGAAGGACACATTTTTTCCCCTCATTTCTTAACCTCTAGGTTGATAAACTGCTAATAATGCTTGAAGGTTATTCTGCCCCAATAAATGATTACTATTTCCACATATACAAATAATAGCTTCTGTAACGTGAAAGATCACTTTGCTTCTAGAATTATACAGCCTTCAAGATGATAGTTAAATGTCACTCTTAAAATTTGGATTTGCTAACAAAAGATTGTTAAATATTTTTATCAGAACAGAATAGCCAAGAATATTTTTAAGTTTTACTTTGTACATGAACTAGACTAGTATAAAAAATCATTATATCAGATGGTTAAACTATCTGCCATTTTTGTTAGATTACATCATCATTCTCTAGTTCTCAAGGAAATTCCTAAAGAACTAGAAAAAAGTTTATGTAATTCTCCCCACCCACCCCAATCTCTCAATTCCTTCAACTTGCTTTGGACAAGAACAATTATCTATTGTTGGGGAGAAGACACTAAGAATATACTTTTAAGCAATAGGAAAAAAACAGTGGCCCTTCTGAAACTTAGCTGGCAAATTTTTAATCATACATTTCTTCCTCTCAAAAATCGTGATTCAAGAAATACATATCCATAATTATTACGTAAGTACTAAATAATTTCTAGAGAAGACACTAAGATAGAGTGAATTGTTTATTTCACACTATGGTAGGAACCAAATCCTCAATATCCACAGGGACCATTTTCAAAACAAGGCCAGATACCACATCAATAATTGCAGCAACTTAATCATCATCTTTAAGATCCTTGATCTTGTACTTATGACGTTCAATTTCTTTCTGCAGACGCTCTATTTCTTTCTTATGGTGACTTATTTCCTCTTCATGATGTTTTCTTAGATGTGACAACTGTTCTCTCTCTTTCTCCCTGCAAAAATAATAGGATAAATAATATATATTATTGTCATTTATTCAAACCTCAGCTAAAATGTCATGAAAAATGGCAGAAATTGCCATTTCACATTTACTAATAACTACCTCACAAGTTATCCCATTGCTAATCAACAAACACATTAATATAAAATTGGCCTGGCTCATTTAGAAAGGTAATAACTTGATTTAAGTGATTTGCTATTGAATATTCCATCTTTCCTTTTACAAACTCAAGGTTTATTTCCCCCATTCCTCATAATTTAGGCTTGCAAAGCATTTTGGTTCAAGTTTGCTGTTCAAAATTCCATGAAATATTCTGCTTTAAGTAAAATTGCTTTTTCAGCATATCAAGCATTCAGGGATTTAGCTGGGGGAAATTCTGGCCTGATGGACATGAAATGCAATAATTGGAGCATGAGACTACCTCCAAATCTATATAACACTAAATTTGTATGAGATACCAGCTATATTGCCCTCTGAATGAGCAAGGGAGAAACAAATGGGGGAAATATGTTCCCATTTAATAAAGTAGAATGAATAGTTAATAGTTACTTCTCTTTAGATCTTTCACTGTGTTCAGGTGTTTAAAGCAGTTCACATGCGTATTTTAGATTTTATCCTTAAAATAAATCCAAATAATACAAATAAATTGCTATCTTTCATATTACAGAAATGAGTATTGGGGATAAGATGCCTACAACTTTTTATAGCAGAAACCAGATTCAGAATTAGTGAGATTTATGAGTTTAGGTACCATAATTACAGGAATAATTGATTTTTTTCTCCCAAAAGATGAAGCCAGTCTATATATCTCCCAATCCTAATTTTATCACAATTCTGAGATAGGGTTGATTGGAAGATGTTTGGCTCCAAAATAAAGTCCAGTGTCCCCTTGAGATGAATTATCAGTTGGCTACCTGGACACATCCATATTTTCTTGGCAACAACATGGAATTAGTTTGCGTACTCTTTATTTACTGTTCCAGAGCTGATCTTTCTCAGTTCAGAGCCAAAGGAATATGGCTGTATCTGCATATTACCATTACTAAAGGAAGACCTAACTTGACTTTGGATCCAGCATCTTCCAACTTGCCTTGTGACTCATAATATTTATATAACAGATTCTTGCGCAACATGAAAGGGGAAATGCAGTTGTGGAGAAAGGGATAGAGACCCAAGTTCAAATGTGCTATCACACCAGGGAGACCCGGGTTCAAATGTGCTATCAGCCACAGAAGCATCCCTGAGTCAGTTTGGGACACACACTTTCTCACCTTCCCCAACACAATCCTTTATCACTAAGGAAAATCAGAAGTGGAAATGCATTGCATACCATCTTGAATTTCTAAAGGAAAAGCAGGTCAGAAATTGAAAAGGTGTCAGTAAATCTTTTTTAAAAAAAGGGCACTAAAATACAGTATGGGTGAATCTGCAGAATAGCTAGATGAGGGTAAAATGGAAGCCCAACCATCGTTTCAGCCCGTATGGAACTAGAGTCTTATGTTCAACCCAGATCTGTTTTTCTTGTTCTGACGTGACATTCCACGCTAACTCGTGTCTAAGTTCGGTGTAATGTGTGAATCCAGGCATAACCATACTTGAAGTAGCGCTCCTCCGCAGCCGCTTCCCGTTTTCCAAACGCGCCGCCAGCTTCACGGATGGTTCCACCGCCACCCCCGCCTTTTCCAGCACCTTTGCCGAGCTCACCCAGCTCAGGAATGGGGGGAAAAAAGGAGGCCTACGTTAGACGCCTCCGCCTTCGCCTCCAGCGCCAATGCAGACCCGCCCGCCTCCCCTTCCCAGCGAAGACCTTCCACAGGGCCTGGCTGCCCCGGAGGCCCTGCAGCCGGACCACCGATGCCCGACGGTACCTGATCGGAGCCGGAGCTCCAGGCCCGCTGCTGCTGAGGTAAAGCCATCGCTCCCCGCAACCCAGACCTGAATATCGCACCGACAGCAGCCATCTCACTTCTGTCCTTGGAGGTGGATGGGTGGGTGTGTCTGGCTGCTGGAGGAAAAGGAGGGGCGAAGTGAAGCGCAGACCAATCGGAGGAGAAGAGGGAAAGAAAGAGTCCAATCAGAGCCACGCAGGAACTATAGAGGCCAGGTCGCTCACATTTTGAACTTCCGTCGTCCCAGGGAGCTGCTCTAGCGCAAGTTTGTCTATGGAGAGGCGTGACCTAAAAGGTTCCGCCCCCTATTCTTGGCTTCTCTGGGATAATTTTCTGACATTGACTGTAAAGATAGACATATGTAACGTGTGGACTTAAACTTACTAATCAGTA